AGCTTTTGCTGTCCTTCGCACGTAGGAAAATTTGAAAAGCCAACGTTTTGGGATGTAGATTTTGAGCTTTTGCTGTTGTTGGCATGTTGGAAGATTTGGAAAGCCACCGTTTTGGAATGTAGGTTTTAAGCTGTTGCTGATTTTCGCATGTTGGAAGATTTGGAAAGCCAACGTTTTGGGATGTAGGTTTTGAGCTTTTGCTGCTGTTCGCATGTTGGAAGATTTGGAGCCACCGTTTTGGGATGTAGGTTTTGAGCTTTTGCTTGCCATCGTGTAACATTATAGTCACGTAGAGATTGGAACCTGGCCAGCCGCAATGTCGCAGCATTCCATCCCACAATCAACTCTACACCGCTATGACCTTCAGGCTGAGTTAGATAAGTAAAAGCCATCAGCACTTTACCCTGAAGCCAGTCTTGTGGACAGGTCACTGCAGCCAGGAAGTCCGACCATCTCGCTGCAGGCAAAGCCCGGCGCAGGGCTTCCAAGGGATCCCTGCCAAGGCAAACGCGGGGATTTCGGAGGATCTCTGAGCCCTTCCCATCCTGCCTCTTTAGGAGTAAGTGCATTGCTAGGGCTCTAAGCCCTTTGCAGCTGTCGTCAGTGGGGAGCCTTAGCCAAGCCGTTCCTGCTACACTTGCCCAAGGCCATAATCCGATGCATTGCAACTTTTCAGCTTGGATCCAAGTGGCTTCTCCAGGCCTTGTGCGTATTCCCGGTTGGCAAACGCAGCCGAAGCAACTGCAAGAGTGGAGCTGCCTACGGATTCTTTCAGCAGGACGGAGGGACGGTCGGAACTTAGATGAAGTTCCAACAAAACAGCTCTAGCTTGAAGACCCCATGCTAGCAGCACAGTCCACGAACGTCACACGACTGCGTGATTTGGTAAAGGCACTCGCGGCAGACCCTACTGTGGACGCCCTAAACCAATTCGTGGGCTACGGTGCTCTTCTTTCCAACATTCAGGACAACTCTCCGGCCCTCGTTTTCCGGGTCATTACCTGACAAGGTTTGATGCTTCCCATATCGTGTCAGCGTGCCTCGATTTGAGGTCAGGATGAGCTGGCAAGCGCGATCCCAGTGCCCACACCACAAGGCCGCACCAATCTCATACCTCAACATGCGGGATTGCAGTTGGTGTGTTTGTGCCTGCATGGAATGTCCAGAACCTCAGTCACGACATACCTACCACCCCTTAAAGGACAAGAACATGCTTCCGGGTCCAAATAGTCCACTTTTCTCGGGCACCTATTTCAAGCAATTTCTGGCACTATGAGAGCTAAAGTCATGATCTTGTAAGGCTGTCTGGAGTGCACGGTGTCACTTGACTGTCACCAGTGTCACCAACCCCCAACCCCAGAACAACCAGAATTGAAGGGCTGGACGGGATGATGTCCAGCCCTCTTGCTGCCCAGGCGCCGACGAACCTCTGCGAGGCCAAAAGAAGAAAGCTCGAAGAAGTTGGCAAACCCATTCTCCCGAATCTCCTTTGCGGCCAGCCGTAACGCGAAATCAGAAATGCCTGGAAGTGGGAAAATAGACCCTCTTGAGCTGTCCTCCAGACGCTGGTCGTAAGAGCCCTTGGCGACCTGACATCAGGGAGCTTGATGTACCTCACTTCGTGACCGCTGTTGCAGTCTTCACAGATTGATCAATTTCACTGACAGCTGCTTCATTGCTTCGCTTGGAGGATGCCTGCTTGCCTGCTGTTGGCTCAAGCTGCGCAACACGATGGTGTAGCGGTGGGCCTGGCATCTCTCGGAAGTACATCTGCTCTCAAGGGTTGAGCTGCAGGACTTCGCTTGAATTTCTGCTCCCACATGAAGGTCAACACTACGACTTCCTCTGAATCTCGTACCAGGACTCACTGGTCATATCTTTTGGTCGATAGCCAAATGGGTAGCTGTACTTCATGGCGTGTGCCCACGTAGGAGTTGTGTATAGCACATGTAGTCGATCTTTTGCATGTGTGACAAGGGTCACCAGCATGTTTTTTGAATGTGAAGAGCCCCCACACGGATACCCTTCTTCGACACTCGTGACTTGGAAAGAAGCCAACCAGCAAACAAGTGCAACAAGGGGGAAACTCCTGAGCTCCCGGCATTGAAGACGTCGCGATTTCCAGTCCTCTGCTGAGAAGTTGACAAGTAAATCAAAAACAACAAACCCTTCCGGTCTGGAGAGTGAGAGCCTCGCCACTGCTCGAACAGGCATAGTAGCATGTCCGACAGTTACTTGTAACAGATCTGCGGCTGCGCGGTCAGGCTGCGAGATTTGCACCAGGTATTAAGCATTGTGAGGCTTCCAACCCGAAAAGATGCTTTCAGGCTTCAGAACTAACGGCAGGAAGACGGTTGAGATTCGAAAGAGGGAGTCTTCATGCGTGTCCCTTCCGGTTCATGACAGGCTCTTAGCATCATTGAAGCAGGAGGCGCCATTCCTCCCGTCAGCGCCAGGCTTTGCATCATGTCCTGAGAAGCGTCACGATCGGAATCGTGCCCATGCTGGAGCTCCCGTCAAAGTAGATAAAGAGCGTCTGACTGCTGCAAACCAGGGAGCCAGCGGTCCCAGGGCCATCAACTCTTCCTGATCCTGCAGAATCCCAGCTTGAAGCTCCGCAGAGACCTCCAAGCCTTCTGGCAAACCTCTCGAAATGCACGTGCGCACATGGCGAGTGATTTCCTATCTCTCTCCGGTATCCTCCCGACCTCGTGGCAATCTGACAAGCTGCACGGAGATACCAGGCAGGCGCAGCGCTGGGCCCAAGCGCAGCGCGGCATCGGCAACACCTGGCAGAGCAATTTCAGCCGCTCCCAGAAACGGTCCTTTGACAGGGGTACCTTTTTTGGCTGGTTGAAGCAGAAGGCCCAAATGCGAGGATGCTCCACGCGAGAGCTCAAGTTTGAGCTGAATTTGAGGATACTCCACGCAATAGCTAAATTTGGTGTCAAAGTCTGAGACAGCATCCTCGCGAGAGCTCAATTTCGATCCGAAATTTGACAAGCTCCACGCTCGCACTCGAAGGAAGAAAAAAATAATCGTGATAGTCAGACTACGCAGAGTAATCATGCTGTAGCTGTGGTACGCACGCTAATACAATACTATAACCATCAGCTTAATGATGACTACTATTCTTCTCTTCGTCGCAAATGATATGATCGTTTTTTTCACCTTCCGTGTCTGCATGACATTTCTTGTGACCGTGATCATCCCTGCAACCATTATTCAGGAAACCACAGCGATCAAAACACAACTGCGATAACGAGTCGTAGTGATAGTCAGAGCAATAGTGGCATCGGGAGTCATAAGCGAAACAAGTAGGATCCAAAAGCCTTAGCAGCGATAAAGGCGCGAACGCTACAATAATATCCATCGTAGGAATAGAAATTGAATTGCAGCTTTCGAGTACAAGCAGTAATTATGAGACTTGCGGCAACAATAACTGTAATAGAAGTGGTAGTTCGAGTACAACAGTAACCGTGCGATACTACGAAGATAACAGCAATACTTGCAATGATGACAAACATCATGGTACTGCTAGCAACAGATGAACCATCATGAAAACAAGAAGGTTTTGGATAGATTTTGATAGGAGTGGGTGGCCAAGCATTGCATCTACTTGAAAGCATGGGGGGGGTTGTGGGCAGACGAGAAGGAAAAATCGAAGCATTGTCTTGATGTTTCTCGGAAGTGCAGGGCTGCAAAAAAAACGCGGGGGTGCGGGGCATATACACAACATGGACAAGGATGAGACTGTGCAGGTTCTTGCTGAGTGTCGATTGGAGTTGCCAGGCCGGCAGGGGTACAGGCCGCCAGACGCCCAACTTCGTGAAACGCGGGCGAGTAGGGGGAAGAAGAACCAGAATGGAAATAACAGGAATGATGGCAGTAAGAGCGCAATCATAAGAAAAGAAGTAACAACGAACAACGCACACGCAGAAATAGTAACGATCTTACTACAACTGATAATGATTCGGAATGCGAGCCGATGACATTCGGAATGCGACCCGATAATAAACATACTAATGATAATAATCATCGCAGCAATCGCTTAGCATTAACACCGAAAGACAATAATCATACTTCGAACAAAACCATAGTAAGATATAGTAAGCGTTGCACGAACTTTATTTCCATGGCAGCTAGATTGGGCTCGAAGGATAGTACTGATACGAGCAAACTGACTAAGACAAATAGTAGGAATGGAAAAGCAGCATAATGACGGTACTGAAAGCAGCTGATGGTAATAATTACCATTGATAAGCTAGCAGGCCGTAGAAGCCAAAGAGCAAGGGAAAGCCAGAGAAAGCAAGAAGCTTGAAAAGCCAAGAAGCTTAAGAAGCCAGGAAGCCACAAAAGCCGAGAAGCAAGGCCAGGAAGCACTGCACGCGAGAGCTATAATCTGCTACAGTTACCCTAATTAACGTGAGGCGAGAGCTCAAATTTAGGGTCAGAATTTGTGAACGGTACGCACGAAAGCTTATTTTTGGAACCAATATTAAGACAAGCTGTCAGGACGCCCCACGCGAGAACCCCGTCCCAAAAGTCGCCAAAAAACGTATTCAAAAAACAGGCCCTCTGCATGGAAGCCTCAACGCTTCACACTGCGGCCCGCACCCAACACGGATGCCAGGCGCCGGCGCGGCGCCGCCTGCGAGTAGACGACCGCGGACCAGGCCTCCAGGACCGCCATGCGTTTCGGTTTTCTGGCCGACGAGGACTGCTTCAATGATTGCGCTCCTTCGAATCTGAGCTTCGTTTGGCGCGAGACGTGCCGACTGCTGGGCGCGGCCCCGCTTGCCGGGGACCAGGTTGTTCTTTCGGAAAACCTTAGATGAGGTTTGGAAGTACCAAACGGGTGTGCTTGTTTTAGAACGGCTCAGTCCCAGACCCAAGCTGGCAAGGTGCAGGACCTCCCCTGAAGCAAGCACATCGTGCCGCTGCAGGTCCTTGGCTCCCTCACTCCCAGCCCGACTCAGAGACTCAGTACCTTCCAGGAGTTTTTCACGAAGCCAAGCTGCTGCTGAAATTGTATTTGACAGCAACTTTCCGCGCAGCTTCGGCCCCGCCGTGAGGTAGCAACTCAATCCCACATCCTTATATCACAGACACGTGGCGATTCTGGCTTCCAAAGGGCCGTTGCTGGCAACAAGGAGTCTCAGTGGAATTAGTGGCCCTGAGGCGCCTCCATGCTTCCAAGGGTAGCCTTGTTTAGAGACACTCAGGGCTTTGACATACGAGGGACCGCCTCCAGACCTTGCCACCCGCTAGCTTGGTCGCTGCGGGTGGTCCGCCGGATGGCACGCGCAACGCGCATGCCATTTCAAGAGGTGCTATAGAAGAGTAGCCTTTTGAAATGGAACTTTGCGGCTTGAAGGGATCTCATGGTGATTTGGGTCAGCTAGGAGCAGTGATGAGAATGGAGCTAGCTTAATTACTCTTGATCTTCACTGAAGAGTAAGGCTTCTGGAAGCCTTGCAGCGTCTTTGGCATCTGATGCAACGCACCTCCGTAGCCCAGAACTATCAGTTCGAGCCATGCTATCATTCTGGCTTGCCTTGGCGTTTGATTGTGCTGCCAATTTTCAGATCGCCCATGCTTCTTTCGAACATGTTGACGTCTGCAAACTAGACTGCCGCAGATGGTTGCCTGCACTTTTCGTTGGTCGCACTGGTTGAGTCTTTGTGCTGGCACTTCCAGCAGACCCGGTCATTGAGCAAGGCTGGACCACCTCTCTCTGAGGCCCTCAAGGGACAGGGAGAAGGAGACGCCCAAGTACTGCACAGCAGTACGACGAAGTCCACTGTCCTGGAAGTTTGAGGGCACCTCCTGCCATACTAATATGCCACAAGAGTTGTTAGCAGCGGTAACTTGCAGGACAGCGCACGCTCCCAAGTTAAGGATGCATGCAGGCCTTCGGCCTACACCCAGAGCGCCAGAGATGAACTACGGTTTTTGCAGGGATCATTCAAGACTCCTGCTTCTGCTAGCCTTGTGTTATGCATCATCTACGCGGAGTCGCTTCCCGTGTATACTGTTGTTCTCCAGATGACTGTGCGGGTATGTAGCGGAGGACTAGGGGGCCACACCTTTAGTGGTCCCCTGCATGCGCGAGACTCCGAAATTTGGGCCTCTCGAACGTGTTGGGGTCTCCACATATTCTCTGGATCTTTCGATGGCTGATCCGGTGTTCTTGCAGTGATTGTAAGACTGAGAAGGCCTGCAATTTCTACAAACCGATCTACTACTCAAGAATCAAGGCTGTGACTCATGAAGCCAATCTTTGGCTTCCCTTGGCTCCAGATCATGCCGTTGAATACTGAACACCATTAGAGCGTATTAGGCCTGAATCCACAACTGTACCCAAGGAGCCAGGCAGCAATGGACAACATGAAACAGGCTTCAGCTGCGAGCCCTTCAGCCGCAAAGATGTGGTGTGAGAGCCCACTGCCTTTCTTAGAAATTCTCAGGTCACGTCTTTCCAGGACTCAACTCGACTTCAAGTAATGTGTGGCGAGCTGTGCAGAGCATGCCCGGGAGCCGATATACAATGCTTCTCTGCAATCCCAGAACGTGCTTAAAAATCAAGCCGCCTTGAAGTCCACGGCAGGCTTTGCTCAGAGTGCTCCTCGGAGCAGCCTGACGAAAGACAAAATGCAGCCAGTCTGTTGACAGAACAACTATGCATGCATGGAACCCTTTTGTGCTAGGCTTCAACGACAACTCTCTCAGGCAAAGACCTCAGTAGCCGAACTGAGTGTACATCCCGCCAAAAGCACCTGGGCCGGGCCTGGCCACCAGGCAAAAGCTCATGTTCAACGTCATTGCTGCTTTTCTTTCTTACAGTAGCAGCTCACCAGACCAGCCAGGAAGGCGTGGGGCAGAGCCCAGAGGAATCCGACTCGTTGCGACAACGAATCGAAAACTTTGGTCCTTTGCAGTCTACATGTAAAGACGCAGAAATGCCGAGGCTGATTAGGCCCCATGCCGCCCACTCTGGAACCTCAGGTGGCCCAATGATTTACAGATGCAACTGACTTGTCGAAAGGGTTTGCAACGAAGCTGCGGAGATCGTACTGGCCAGGTCCTGGATTTTCACCTGTAAAAGTGAGTGACGTGAACAGATTTACTGTGAAGGCAAAGGAGGCCGTCTGTTTTGAGCAAAGGCTACGGCCATTTGCCCGCACACCCCTGTTGGAGGTTCCGAACCTCCAGAGCCAAGCATGGCCAAACCAGCACAACCAAATCAAAAACGATGAGGGCGTGGATCTTAAATGCCAAGATGCCCCCATCGCGGGGCCGACTTTGATATGGGACCTCACTTCCGGCTTGAGACCTCCACCAAGACGTCTACATTGAAGTATCTGGGACTCCGACTCTCCGAGCCAGAGCCAGCATTGACATAGGTTCCAGGGCCCGGTGTAGCAGAGCACCTGTAGAAACACTACAGAGTTCAGTCCAAAGCTTAGCCGCTTCGTACATTGGTATATGCAAAGCCATCCTGTAGTTTACTGAGCTGTAGGCAGTCGGCGCCAGTCGGCCTGAACGCGTAACATATATGTACATCATGCGCCAAACCCCAAAGAGGCATGTCAAGCCACTCCATCTCGCCGAGGTGTGCAGGTGTGCCGCGGGAATTGCGGCCTCCCAAAAAAGGTACACTGAAGTTACAACATGAAAAACGTCTCGTTAAGCTCCAAGCCTGGTGGCACTCACGTCTGGCACATAAGAACCGGGACCTACATCCAGATGCACACGAAAAGAAGCAACTGCTCCGAATGCTTGAATCCGCCTGGCGTGTTGCCACCGGCTCCCAGCCTTAAATACGTGGATGTGCCATTGCGTTATCATGTGCTATCTCTCGGATTCATCCCAGCTCATCTTGGCCTGGGACCCTCGTGCAGCTCGGCCAAAGACAGGACCAGCCGAGCGTGGGCGCTTCTTGGGAACGCATCTAATCACGCAAACACTTGAGACATCACCGGCAACATCTGGTGACCTCTGTGCTGGCTGAGGCATGTTGAGGCCTCTGCCGACCCATAGGACTCGCTTGCCCCATACGCTCCTGGTCCCGGTGACGTCGCAGCCAGTCCGCCCTGAACCAGTTAGCAAGCGGAACTTTTGCCCGTTTTGGGTGATAATGCCGCGAGTCAACCTCTAGCCCAACCGCATTACCTCTAAACTCCACCCTACATCTCACCTAAATATCAGTTCTATTTCCCCGCTAGCAATACCAGTGTAGGAAAAACCGGTTACCTCATCTGCAATACCAAAACTGACGTCTTGGCACTTTTCCCAGACACCGGCAACAAATCGTACATCTCAGCACTGGGTACCACTTTGAGCCCCAGACACTGACAACAAATCGTACTTCTTAGCACTTGGGTGCCACTGGTAGCCCCAAACATCGGCAACAAATCGTACTTCTTAGCGCTGGGGTACCTATTCAATTGGGGCCCCAAACATGGGCAACAAACCGTACATCTTGGCGCAAGAGATACCCTCCCATATGGGAATTGCATTAAAACCCTTTGGGCTATTCCATGGCCTTTAAGGCGAGCGTCTGGGACCAGAAGGGGGAGAGGGGTAAGGGCGGCAAGCGTGTAGCACTCAATTTCAGCTTTAGGGCTTAGGTTCAGCGCTGAGGGACATTTTTTGGAATTGGGTTCAGGAGACTAACTGGGGTTTAGTAACGTTGAAAGAATGAACTATCCCTGCCATTCGTACGTGTCCGCAAAGGAGACTCCTAGGGAGAGCTACTTCCCTCATTCCCAGTTAGCCTGTGCAAGCTTCAGATCATGAAGCCGCGGTGCTCCACATTTTACCGCCTCAAGCAAAGCAATCATGTCGTAAAGCCTGTGCAGCGGTCACCCGTCGATGTGGTCTGCTGCAGAAGCTGACCCACCAGCTGCCGAGCCTTTTGGAAGGCATGGCCTTGCTTTGGCAGCCTCGGATCATGAATTCTTGTGCTTGGAGGGATAGCTTACAAGTGCCGGAGAATGGCAGGCACATGTATCAAAGGGAACGTACTGAGTACACACTGCCTGCCTTCCTGGCTGATGATCAAAAGTAGAAACCTCACCACCCAAGCATTGACCAAATTTGCTTGCACTGTATCTGCCCCTCGAGGTCAATCTTCTTGGTTGCATCCCGCGGCAACTGTCTACAAAGGAGCCAGTACGTGGTCAGACCGAAAGCCCCGCAGTCGACGTCGGTCCCATAGCCCCGGTTCAGAAACATTTCGGGTGCTACAGACCCGACTCTCTTTGCCAAGTTATCCTGCCACCTGACTGCAAGCCCAAGGTCACCGATTTTACAGCCAAAGGAGCACTCATACTGTGGGCCACCAACACGTTTTCGGACTTAATGTCGCGATGGACAGCTGACAGACCATGAAGATGCGCAAGTCCTTGCAGAATCTCGGACATGGTTGTCAGCACTAGCGCTGCAGGCAGTGGTGTGTTCCAGTACCGCGCATCTTCCAAGAACCCGCCCATGAGCCTGCGAAGTAGGCGCTCACAGGCAATGGCGTATGTAGGGAGCACCCGGGGATGCTGACATTTCAGGAGGAGCTGAGCCTCAAACTGTAACCTGGAGGCATGTTGCCCATTGGTCAACCTCTTTGCAGCCACCGCTAATGATCCCCAGCGTGCCTGAAACACCTGTCGAATTCCGCATTTCCCCAACTGCTCTTCGATGAGGGGCTGGAAGCATGGAAGTGCGAGATGAACCTGACGAAACAGTCACTGCGCGAACCACAATTTTGGGACAGTGAAGCCTGCCAACGCAGTCGAATAAACCCAGCACCATTACCTACACACATGCACACGCACACCCTCGCGCGCGCGCTCTCTGAACTCCTCCATTCCCCGTAATTACATTCCGAGCTCCTCGTTTCCATCGCATTAACATGAATGCTGACACCACTTCCTCGACCTGCAGCGCTGCCTCGCCAAACGTTTGGACACAATCCAGAACATGCCTTACACGCTCTTTTCTGTTTATTTCCTCAACAATGGACGGCCAAACCCTGTGCAACCATGCTGCTACGGGGACCGAGACTGACTGATAATGTCATTCGCTACTTGTGTTCTTTGAATAGTCTTGGAACATGTATCTTGCAGATTCCCGCATCTCACTCTTTAACTCATGAACCTCCTGGATGGGACACACTCCATCCCCATGCTCTTCCTTCATCCACTGAAGCATGAGCTGGACGACGCCTTGCCAGAGTTGGCCGAGCAGAGTAATTGTACTCTGGCGTAGTATCTGCTTGGGTTGTCGGTTGTTGCGACTATCTGCTGGATTGTTTGCTCCGTCCGTGCTTTATCTCCTTGCAGCGCCCCTGCTGGCTCTCCAGATCCCTTCCTCCAAGAATCACTTAGCTTCTGTTGGGTTGGTGATGGCTTCTCCTCGATTGGCTCTTCTTTCCTCCTCATGGATCTTAGCACCTCGGCTGCCTCCCTGTATCAGGCCCTGTGTTAGGCATCTTTCGCAGATCTCCCTCGCGGCGTCCGGCCGCTCCGGGTTCTCCCGCTCCCGTTGATGTAGACGCGTAATGTGCAACCTTGTAGTCCTCCCTGTTCTCACTGGCAGCGGCGCAACAGGGTGACCGTGGTTGTTTTCTATGGCGCTACGTTGCAAGGTCTCCCTCTTCTTCTTCTTCTGCGGCCTATGCTCGTCCCTTACGGACGAGCCGGAGCGCAGCTCCGGTCGGGACCAGCAAGTACAGGACACAGACTCAGGTAGTCGCAACCCCAAAGTACACTATAAAACTCTGGCAACTCCCCGAATACCGTGCCCCTTCCTTCAACTGGCTGTGACACTGATCCTCGGAGGCTCCCCCCTGTTTGGATCGACTTAGCACCAAACAGACAAATTGCAGGGTAAAACGCACCTAATTTCATCGATCCGCAGGTACTGTACCAGGGCGAGGCCTCCTTCTTTATACATCCATGTGCCCTCTCTCTCTCTCGCTTGCTCTCTCTCCTCTCGCTCGAATAGATGTGTATGCGCAAGCCTGGCTCCTGGTAGCAGCACTCAAGGAAACGGACCCTCAAGGCTCGAACGAACCAGGTGCAGACGTACAAATCACGAAATGCACTGGGCGCCTTAAGCCACAAGACAGAGTTGTAGTGAAACTCCGTGCCATGTAGTCCTTGACTTGATTCTGAAGCTGTTGCGCAGTGGAGTGTGGCTTGGCGAGCCGTTCCCGTATGATGATGGCGCTGTCCACTTCCCAGCCGGCCTTCATCAGGTACCTTGCGAAACATGCGGCCTACACCCTGAGCCTTTTCAGGATCCAAGTGCAATGCGCGGTGCTCTGGCGCCACGTGCGTCCAAGCGACTCCACAGAGATGCCTGACGGGCCTGCCGGGCATGGCGGCTCAAGCGCCGCCAGGCCACTGATCAGGCCGCTGAAAAGGAGGCAACGAGCCGACATGGCGTAACTCACTTGCCAAAAACAGAAAACAAGGCTGGGCTGTCTCAAACACACGCAAGGTGTGAACCAAGGTTCTTTGTTTACATGCGGACGGGCACGGAGCAATGGCTGATGTGGGACTTTTCTACAAGCCCAAAGCTCAGATTCGAAACGGAAAGATGCTCGAGACAAACGGCGACAATCAACGGTGACCTTCGAGCATCCGCGCATGACAAACCGAATACCAACCACAGCAATCAGGCGCCGCTGGGTGATTGTTGACAAGTTTGGGCCTGCACACACCCCTAACCTGGGGCTAAATGGATGGTTTTAATGTTGTTTTTTTGACCTTGTTGGGCCATCAAAAACTCCCAACCTAGTCGCTAGTTTGGCCGCTTTGGAAACTCATCCGGCCTTCACAAATCCCCCACCTAGGGTCAAAACATAGGGTTCTCGCTAGTTGGCAGCCTTGGGGATCTCCCAAATGGCGGCTATTTGTGGTGTTTGACCACTTCGATCTAATGCTATAAAGCATAGGGAGTTTCGCAAGTTTGGCGTTTGGCGGCTGTGGAAACCTCCCCAACGGCTGCTTTAAGTGCTGCGTATATATATATATACCCATTACTATATGGCTGTGAATGAAAAAGATAAACCTGCGATCCTGGTCTCCTTGTCTTCTTTTATATCGAACCTTGACTAAACGCACGCCAAATTTAAAGATAAGCCGTACAGTCCTGGCCTCTTGGCTTTCTCTATATATGTGTCCCTTACTACCTGTGCTTAGAATGTAACCAAGAATTACCAAATGCTGGGCTCCAGCCTTTGTACATGTAGGACATTTCCAATGATGGTTCGATTTGGAAAGGAATTGTCAATTTCTGGGCTATTGATTTATATAAGCCGCTAAGTGAGCCAAGGTGGGCTGAACGCAGTCGTCACTCTGGCAAGGCTTGGCCTTGTCACGAACCGACGACCCGAAACCATAGCAAGGCTGCCTCAAAGGGCTCTGCTTGCACGTTCTCTGCTGGTACTTTTGCTACATTTTGCTACAGCTGCTACGCTGCGTGACTGCCTGCTCCGGCTGGACTTGGTCTGATGACCATAGGTCCCAGGTCCAGGTGTCAACGGCCTGACATGGTTTCAGGCCGTGCTGGAGGCAGTGGAGGAGAACTCCGAACCTGCTCCCCATGCCAGCACTCCGTCCAGCAATGCTCCACTTCGGTGCCTTGGTAGTCTGGCAGTCCAGGGCTGCTGAGACTCAAGGGTGCGCTGTCTGCCAGTTGCAGTACTTCCTCAGCCCAGGACTTGCTTGTTCTGCGACATGTTGGTGAGGAACATGCCTCCCTCATAGCCCGAATAGCTCGGGCGAGCCATAGACATGCCTTGGCAGAAGATGACATCTGCATCTTCTCGTTACGTCTTGCCATGTAAGAATAGTTGGAGAGGGATTGCTTCTGTGCTAGCAACGTACAGGCACAGCACCACTATTTATGGAGCCTTCAGTCCTTTCCCAGTCTGCTATGAATCACAGAAGGCCATCTGTGAGTTGCAGATTGCTGAACGTTGCAGCTGATTATGGATAAGAGGCGCGAGCTTGTCCTCCTGCGGAGTTGGACCGCTCTATCGCAGCTTCAGGCCCGGTCTTGTGATTCTCTGGAACGAGGTCTGTACGCAACGCGGTGATTAGAACAGCAGCATCCTTCCTAATCAGCAAGTTTGTTCGCGTGTAGAAACACCGCCACAGGCAAGATTTGAGCCAAGGGCCTTGCAGTGTCAGGGAAGGAAAAGAAAATCGCCACCAACTTGCAAGATCCATCCCCAGACCCGGCATTTGCAATGGGTTGGTTCTCTTTTGTCGCCACAACGGGCTGATGGGGTTGAGGTTAGGACGATCCACAGAGGCAGCACTCTGATCATTCTTTCTCATGGCCCTTCAAGTCAAGCATGGGTCTCCCTCCGAGAGCGTGACCTGCAGCCACAAAGGCCCTGCGGATCCTTGTGGCCCGAGACCTACATCAGCTCATCCCCTTTCTTGAGCCCTCAGCTGCTGCTCTCATCAGGATCTCCACAAACGCAGACATGACAGGAGGTTGGCGGACAGAGGGTAGGACTCCCCTTCTTCCACGGCTGCCTTCGCCAGCAGGGTCAGGGCAGCCGACGGATTCAATTATGATTCATAGATCTAGAGGCCTGAATTCCTGGAGGACTACTATGTAAGGGGGAAGACATTGCATAGAAGGAGCCCATCCGAAGAATCTTCATAAAGAGAGTCAATGAATCAAACTGGATTGGGGGGGTCAAGGCAAAGTTTTGAGGGATTTCCTACTGTTGCTCTGGGAATTTGCTGATTTGGTAGGAAGCTCTTGAAATGAATCTCACAGGAATCTGATTGGAGTCAAATTAGCGATTCAAATGCATCCATGTCTTCCATCTGCCGCTTTTGTGACGCCCTTTACTACTCAGTTTCGCGACTCTGTATTTGAAAAAGGCCAACCTCGAAACGTCGAAGTGTCAGCTGTGCATGAGGACACGGAACCCTCTGCATTGAAGGTTGCTGCATGTTGGAGATCATCATTTTTCTATCTCGCACGTGCCGACCTCACTGCCTCCAAGTATGCTCGGAAGCTTGACGGGCCTCAAAGCAGGTTGAGGCAAACGGCAGCTGAAAACAGCTAGCAGCGACGGATGCAGCCTGGGCACCTCCTGCGGCAGACTTTGGCCGCGCTTCAGAGTGACCACTGGGTAGGCTCCTGTTAAAAACTGTGTAACTGACTCTGGTGCGCTGCGGTTGTGTGAGGATCCTCGATGTAGGAATCTTGCGCGCTGTGGGTGGACCTGGGCGGCAGGCTGCAGCAAGGGAGAGTGTTCTAGCCCAAGATGTTGGCTCGCGGCGGGGAGTGCGCGAGGCGGTTGCTGACATTGGCCGCTGTGCCTTCTCCGGTTATCCGTGCAGCGCATCTTCCTCAGAGGCCTTGCGAACCTCGCTGCGAAGGTCTGGTGTGGGAGCACACGTGGCTGCCACCGCTGTTGCGCCTGGAGACCCGCTGAAACCCTGCAAGAGAGTTGTCTGCATCTGACATAGGGGCATCGCGAGGTGTGACCACTGCAAAGGTAGGTCTCCTCGCCTCCCACGACGATGCCGCTGATGATTGCCATGATTGAGGTTCGGACTCTGGTCCTTTGCCTCCGTCCGAGCGCTGCGAGGAGTCCTGGGCCCTGCCAGCAGCAACAGAAATCCTACGTGTCTCTGTAGTCAACCTGCTTCCTCGTTCGAAACAAATGCTGGGCATGCAGCGCGCAGGCAGCGCATGAGGCGGACGCACCTTGGGCAAGATTCCGAAATATGCTGCGTTGCCATTTCGTGCCTGCTTGGAACCTGGCACCTTCCAATGTTGAGCGCGCACTGCGCGGAGTCGCTGGCCCTTTCATCAACATGTTGCCTGCCCTTCCAACGGCTTCACTCGGCACTCTTGGAGCGCCGCGAGCTGGCAGGCTGGAAGCAGTTGTAGCTGCTGACGAAGGCCTAGCTGACAACTTGGCCTTTGCACAGGATTCAAGATGCAAAGCGCTCGCAAGGCTTGTCAGCTGTCATGAACTGTGCTTTACGGCACGTCCGAGGCCCCAGCATCCCCTCCAATGGCACTCGGAGCAGTGAGTGGAGTCACAGGCCCTGAGCAGGCTCAGGGCAGAAAGCACTGTGCAGCTGATCCAAAAAGGCATCTGCGAATAGGCTTCACAGATGGTCTCACCTTGGCTGAGGCAGCTCGAATGCTTTACGTGGCATGTTGACGCGAAGCACCGGGGCCCCGGGCAAGGATGGTGTCTGTAGAGGAGTTGGATGACCTGAGACTGTGTTCCCCCCCTAGCAGCTCACTGAAGTTGCCCAAATTTGCCCTGCCGATGAGTGCCCTGCCGACTAGGCGAGCGATGCGAGCGCACACGTGGCGAGGGCACCGAGTGCCGGAGCTCGGTCCGGTGGCAGACCCAGTCGTGACCACACCTTCGACGTTTCTTCCCCCAAAGCCATCAAGCTTTCGAGGTCTCTTCGCACGTACAGCGAAACGACTTCTTTTGCTTACTGTCTGTTTTCAACCGAGCCTAAGCTCACTCTGGCAGTGCTTGCCAGCTTCAGCGGCGAACCGTAGCAAATCAACATTGAGAGATAGTAGGCCATGACGGCACCATTGTTGAAGATGGTGCTCTGACAACTTCACACCACGCAGAAACTCACACTTACCTCTCTCAAAGAACTCTCAGCAACGTTAGCACAGTTGTTCTTTTTTGTGGAGTTCTGCCATATTGTACAATTTACAAGACCTGCCACCTTCAACCCCGGTCCTCATGGGTCTGATACCCGACAATCAGGGCACTTGCTAAACAAACTATGTTCTTACTGGTCTTACTGGTGCTCTTCATCAACAGATGCATATAGAATACACATAAACATAAACATAAACATCTTTCTACAACATGTCACCACGCTTTCGTGCGCCAAGCCATTGGCCCTAGATATCCATAGCTTGAGCTCGGCTATCAACAAAAGAACGGGCTTTAGCAGGCCAATTGCACTCTATGAATTCTCAGAAGGTAAGCGGCCCGTCTTTGAGGCTTGGCCGAGGCACACCCGACACGTGCCAGGATCATGGAAGGTCTGGCACGGGCAGCCCGCTTGGCACGCGAAGAAGCCAACAGGGCTGTGCTCCAGGTTTCCATGGCCACCTGCAGCCCACAAGAGCTTCTGTTTCAGCTCCTGCAAATCGCCCAGCAGCTTCTTCTGGTAGCTACTCGTAAGCACGCCCCACGCCAAATTTTGCAAAAAATGATGCACCACATCGGCCCAGCTCCCGTCGGTTCTGAGCTGAGGATTGGGCAACTGCAGCGCGAAGACGGCTGCACATACGTAAACTTCAGGCAGCCGCAGTTGCGCTGGCCTTGGTGCTGTGAGCTCCCTTGCTCTCACCCCCCCACGCAATCTCCCTTGCGAACGACATCGCACTTCTTGCATTACCCTCCTGCTTGCAAAGGAACATTTCTCCCAGCCATCGGAAGATGGCGTTCCCGCATGACGATGATCTGAGAGTGGATGGCCACAAAAGCAGACCTCAGTGAGGCACAGCGTTAGAAATCAATTTTTTCACTCTCAAAGTTGGCGCGCAAATTCGACTCGTGCCGAGCTACTGTGTGCGCATCCGGCTGGATGCATGGCTGTAGGCGATCTTTACGAGCACCTGGCAGGATTTAAGGAATCAGAGGCAGCAGGACTATCGTTGGAATTCTGTCGGGTTAGCCCGGCGAGTAGCCGCCCAAAGCGGCGACTTCACAGACATGGCAGGCCCAGACCACGACTCGCGGTGGCTGCTGCGGCTTCACCGGCACCACACCTTTCGAACCAAGATGGTTGTTCAACCACTACCCCTAAATAGTAGTTTCCATTTTCTTTTCCGTCATCCCTATATAGCTCCAATATAACCCCAATGTAACCTCAATATTACCCTATGTTGCTGCATGAGACGCTAGGTTTGTTTTGTTTGCTGCCGAGCAACGCTCGACACGGACTGGGCCAGGTTTGCACCACCGCGCTCGGCGCCGCTGGGCCGCGGAGAGGAGACTGCCCAGGGTGGGCCCCTGAATCAAGGCTGTGCACAACTGTACATACCTCTATACCTCTATCAATAGACTCTTGCTGTCGTACGCCAGCCTTCCCCAGCTTCTCTAACAAACAATCTTTGGCTGAGGTAATGTCTCGGAATCGTCTTTCCGACTCCTGGTGCAAGGCAAGCACACACCAAGCGCCGACAGCTAGTGTTGCCGCCTCGGCATTCTGCTCCGGATTTTTGTCCGGGTGGCATAGGAGCGCCAGGCGGCGATAAGCACGTCGTACGTCTGCCGCGCTACATCCTGGTGAGGGCCACAGCCCCCTACTCTTCGCTACCTGTCAAGCACCAAGTCTTGCTCGACCCAACGCCTTCGGAGAGCCCCAACACAACGCACGCTCCACACTCATCCATTGGCTTGCTGGCCATGGCGCGGTGGTTTCAAGGCTATACCAGTTCTGTAGATCTGAGATATGTCTGCGTCACCTGGGCTTGTGGTGTGTATGAAGCTCCCTGTATCTGCACGTCCATGCATTTGAATTTAAACCTTATGCTGCCTTGGTTAAACTTAAATTTAAACACTGCGGCAGTCAGGATTAAACCCAAGCCACGGGTTCCATTCAAGCGAACACTCTTCCGCTCTGTTCAGACTCCAGAGTTGTTGGGTGGATGATGCTACAAGTGTAGGCCGCACATCTGCTCACATCCTTAGCCCAGCTCTCTGACCTTTCGTGAAGCAGCTTGCTGCAGCCTGCGCTATCTGGCACTCGCATTTTTCTGAAGCCCAGGTAGGTCTCCTCGGATTCCTAGACCCTCTAGGCATTTCATCGCTTGCCTTTGGCAGGCGTAAGGGAAACGGCTGAGGCTGCACTAAACTTTAAAATATTCGGGCCCATGCACCGGGCCTCTAAGCTTCAGCATGTCAGCTCAGAAGGAGCTCATGACAGGCAGTAGACCTGGCAAAAGCTGCAACAGAAGGCAGCTTGAGGCAACTGCTGCACTTTGCCTGCACAATCCCAACGATCGCCCCGAGAATCCCGCCCAGCAGAATAAGGATCCACTCCTAAGACATCAGCATGGTGTAGCATGCAACAGCCCCTAGAGCCTTCGGAAAGCTGAGGACCTGGGGTTAGAGCATCCTCTTGAAAGACGGGATGCAGAAGGTTCTCGAACTCATCGGCCGGCCTTGGATTGCTGGAAGCAGACAAACCATTGCTTCATCAGTTGCCTGCGAGCTTCACGGCACATGAAATCATAGGGACAAGGAGCATCTGTTGGAGGCACTCTCTATTTCGAGCTTCAATGTTCGTGACCTTGGAGATATACTGCGCAGAGACCTGGCAGGCGATTCGCCAACCAAAAGCCCAAGATCAGCTGGCACAGCGCCCCTTTGCACGCCTTGTGCAGGCGATCCGCGCGGTAAAGGCCGTCAACCAAGGCTGCCTGGCTTCAACGGCTGCGGCCAAATGGGCCAAGCTGTCTTGCGCCGGTCGCAACATAACTCAGCCTTCAGGTCGTGTTCCAAATCGCGGAACCTCAAAGCAAGTTTGAGGCTCTCGTGAGCCACGAAACAGCCACAAAACATCAGGGCCACGCCCTTCTGTCCCGATGGTCCACTGCGCGAGCCACGTGGCTGAGCCTGTAAACAAACCCCCCAACACACTTCCACCACACACTACAGCTGGCGCCTAGCGTCTCGCGCAGCACTGCCGTGGAGTGAGCTGCGTAGGCGGCCTGGCAAGGCCACGGGCCAAGATTGAGCTTTGGAGGCAAGGTCCTGCCTTCAGCTTTCCCCAAAGCCTGGCAGCTTTTGAAAGGATGACCCCAGGGTAAGGCAGAGCCAGGCAGAACCAGGGCCCAGGCTCTGGGAGCGTCTGTAGATAGCCTGAGGAACTGGACAACTGAACCTGCAAAATGTAGTCCCAACGCAGCCGAAAAGCCGATGATTTTGTTGAAGGACAGGAAATTCTCCTGGGCAAATCCCGAAGCAGGGTGGTCAACAAGTGGCTTCCGATCAAATTGAAGATGTTGAAGCTCTGTGTGCCTTGAGCATCTTTGCATACAGCACGCACACCTCCTTAGGCTTGCGATATCTTGCGATAGCTTCATTCATGCCTGGTTGAACTTCATGCGAGTATGGACCCATGTCGAAAGCTTGTGTCTGGGTTTTTTAGATTCAAGCGCAAGCAGTGCACCACTGCAATCCCCTAACAGGGAAGGAGCCGACACACGTTCAAGCTTCATTGTGGCGTCCGCACTGCGCTTGGATCCCGAGGTCGTGGCGGGCTGGCGCTTCAGGAAAAGGCCCTGCAGCACTGCAGGTAGCATTGGACCCAAAATTGAGGTTCCAGTTACCGGCCAGCAGGCATTCGAATCATTCGAAGCTCGAAGCTGACGAGACCCCTCTCTCAACAGGCGACAGCTCCCCTACGCTGCAAGCATGAATGAAGCGGTCTTATCTCATGATCTGGAGTTGGGGTCTCATTCCCGTTGACCACAGTGCGTGCAGGCGACTCATCTCTACTGCTTTCGCGACTTGGGTTTGCTGTGCAGGCCCCGTGACTTCATCGGACCCCGAATGCAGCCCTGCCAGCCTGGATATTGCAGATGTGCCATCCAAAGATCCTCGAATCACTGTAGATGTGCGATTTCATCTTTTGAATGATCTGTCTGCACGTCGAGTGCTCTACCCTTTCCCTCACCCAGTCCGGATGGGCTTCGGAAAACAGGGCTTGAAGACCATCAAGATGGCGAGCCTGTACAAAAGCAGGGAGGGGAACGATCGGGAAGCCTGTTTCGAGTCAACAGGGCGGTGAAGATGTTCAGGATACACCCGCAGCTGCTCTGCGACTTAAAAATGTATCTACGGTTCGAATGCTGGAGACCATTGTAAAAGCAAATCCCAATGCAAACGCTGCATCAAGCATCAAATCGAAAACTCCTTGAACACCACAGTTCCTCAACAAAAACCTGAATCACCAATCGATGGAACGCAGCGACTTTCATTTACACTTTTCCCCAGGAGGGTTGAAACACAACAACTGAAACAGATGCCTGTAAGATCCTGTAAGACTGTACACACAGAAAGATCCTGCGTGTTGCCATTTGGCCAGGATCTACTGCTTGCTTACATGGGCGTTCTGTGGCTGTACAGCAAGAGAAAAACACTTGGTACTGCAATCAATCTGCTCTAGTACTGGGCTTTCAGCGCTGACAGAGAAGCTGATTTCTACACGCAGTCAAGGGGCCAATTGGTGACGATGCCTAGGAGGAAGCCTGCATCAAAGGATATTTCAGTATCTCGGTAGGTCAGCGGCATCATTGGTGGCATCATGCTGCAGCCTGTGGTGGGCAGAAGAATTGCACGACCCTCACTGGTCAGGTGGTTGAAGGCCAACAGCTGCAGCAAGCCACCTCGGCAACATCCTGGCTAGATGACTAAATGCAGGCCCCGCCCCGGGTCAATGCCAAAGGACACAGGAAGCCCATCATAGCTCCGCAGTGCTCGATGAAGCGGAATTCCTTCTTTCTGTGCGCTTGGACGCTTGGATTCTTTGTGCAGCGATTGTTTCAAGCTGCACTGCACATGCAGCTACACATGCACAAGCAAATGGCGCTAGCTTGCAAAATGTCATGCATCAGTTGTGCTCAAGATGCCGGGCGCCTGGTCGCCCAGTCGAAGGAAGAATTCGTTCAGGAGGGCTTTGTTCTCCGTGAACACCTTCACAATGAGTCCATCATTGTCCTCGGACTGATGTTGACGGCCAGCAAGCATCTGCTGTTAGCCGGGCAACCCAGATCAAGTGAGGACGAGTTGATCAAACGGCGTTCCACGCCTTTTGCAAAACCATCCTTTTTGAAACACCACTAGGCAGCAGCTGGACGATATATGATGTTTAGCTGCACAAGCAGTCCTACAAGCTACAATGCAAAGAGATGTACGAGCAAACAGAGTTGCCACATGTTGCCCCTTGCAAGTCCGGTTTCGATGCCAATCTGCTCATTGCACAGGAGCTCTGTGATGGTGCTCCAAAGCTGCGGGGAGGTCTCCTGGATCCTGAGTGAAAAGCAGCGTAGGAATCCAGGCTTTTGGTTAAAGCAGGTTCATGCTTGCAACATTTGCAACATGCAACATGCGGACTTGCAACACGTGGGGATATGTGGGGTCCGCGCCTGTCCAAGGCTTGCTCGGTGAGCCGAGTCCTCACGGACTGAGGCATTCGGTGGTCGGTGCGAGGGAAGTACTTCTTCACGGCGTGGTTGACCGCGCCGTCAATCACCGTCCGGAGCTCACCACGCACCTTCTGCGAGGAAACTTTCGTCATTTCAGGCTTTTGGCTTTTCTGATCCTTTGGGCCTCCTGCACCAGGCGCTTGGAGTCCACTCGGCCCAGCCAATCCCTGGGACCCTCCAAGTAAGGCCGCGCGCACTTGTAGGACATCCTGAATCAAACGCAATGAACACGTCCGGTGAGCTATGAAAGACTGCCAAACCAATGTCTCCCTGTCCTGGCCATCTTGTCACACTTCCGAGGAACGAGGCCTTGCCAGCCGATTCCCATCCCCGTCGCTCCATACTGCCAGAGGCCTCGCAAAGAGGCCAAAGCGGTGCCAAAGCTTCTAATTAAGTTTACTTCTAGAAAAAACTTAAGCTAAAGCTCTAGTGATGCCAAGCCTACGAAGTTCAAGGGCAGGAACATCCTGGGCTCGGCACAAGCTGTCAATGAGAATGAGAACAGACTGGAGAAATTTACATACCTTTTTCAAGGAAGAGCTTTTTTAAAAACAAAGGCACCTTGTTTTTGGCCCTCCTCCACGTTTTGTCAGTGCCAAGATGACAGACCGACCCTACGCGCACGTCAGACTTGAAGATCATTCTCAGCCGCGGTGCATCTGGATCGCCAGCCAAATGTGGAACCATGTGAACCTGACAGCTTGCCATAGTCGAGCGCGCTCGCACTGGTTTCGCGACCGTGTCCACCAAGGAACAGCAGAGCTACAATGGGGATGGACGCCAGCATGGCATAGCGCCTGATCAACGAGACGGCACACATTAGTAGCAAGAAAGGAACTCTGTGATGCCGCTATGCTGTGCTCCCCTGCCTTGTCTGGGTCTGCTCGGAAGGGCTGAGCTGCGTGTAAATTGCGACGAGGAGGGCCGCCGCCATGACCAGGGCAACCACCTGCAAGCTCGTCTTTGAGAGGGAGGGATGTTCATTTGCCTGAGGAGCACCGCCAGCGCCACCACGAGCTTGTGCAGAAACCTACAGTATTGAAGGGCATGAGTGAGACAGCTGAGACATGCTTCACACTTCGCAGAATTTACTGGGTTCGGACAGGAGGCCCTACGCTACGCTTCACGTTCGCCAGATCCTGCACTAACCGCTCTGCTTCGGTCACCTCCTCACCTTGCAGACACGAAGCTTGCGAAGCTTACAAGGCAGCAAAACACCTGCAACAGATCTCAACCAGCCTTCGCAGCCTTCGCCTTCCAACGCAATGTAGGGAGCCTCGGACTCTGGCACCTTTGAGTGGCCATCGTCGTTGGCAGGGTAAGGCACCAAGTTCCTGGGATCCAGCACCTCCTCCCAGCTGTACAGGCAGTCAGGCAAAGGAGATACGCATAATAACGGGGCGGGGCCAGCATCTCTACAGAGAGGCACTCCTCTCCGAAAGATGGTTGCTTTTTCCGGCAGACCTTGCGCAGAGCTACACGCGTAAAGGTACACATCTTGCATTCTGAATAATCACGCTGGAAGGAAACCGCAGCTTGGAGCCTCAAGTAATTGGCTGAATCATCATGTCGTCACTAGAAGTAAATCAGGAGCTATGACCATCTCATCCCCGGCGATGCTAGGCACAGATAGATTTGTTGAGGCCGCCGCAGGGCCACAGATTGACGCCTTAGGCTGCGCCTTGGGCTCTGCTGTGAGCACAGTGCACTATGGCTCCAATCTGCGGAGTAATGACCTCAAGAACTACTTCCTAGGAAGTTGTGTGTCTTGTAAAGTTGTGGGATTGGAGCCCGAAGGCCGCTGAAAGTCTTGGACTATACTCGCCCAAGACAGCCGTGTAACAGCCACTTTCGACTTGAAAACCATCTCTATCTTCACACCCTGAAGCCTCCTTCATCTGCATCGCCTGTCACAACCACGGCCACTCATGCTCCCGCTCTCAAACAAAGGTGCCGGCCCTGGCTTTTTCCGGGGCTGCGTAGCCGTCCAGGTCTGAGACCGGCTCCAGGCCCTCTTCGGAACGTTCGGAAGTCTGTGATATCACAAGAAATGCCCCTGGCCTCTAAATCCAACTCCTCCACAGAGCCTGTCCTGCACTGAGCAGGATAGCCTTCTTATCTATACACGCCTTGAAACATCACTTGCATTCGAGAGACAAACCTAAAACAGGACCACGAGCTGGCCTCAAAACCTTGCCGCAGCCCACTTGGGGACGGCAGCGGAAGCTCGTGAAGGCCATCATGGCTTCCAGATCCGAACGTTCCACGCCCCCTTGGGGGGTTTGTTTTTTGCAGACGTGCTTTGTTGTGGGTGGGTGCAGCTGCAATGCTCTACAAGCAAACTGCCACTGGCAGGTCTTCTCCACGTGGTTCGAGTGAGTCTTGCTGTCCAGGACTAAAGTGACTAAACGACTCAAGGGCTGGCCTGGGGCTGACGGCGGTTGTTGCCAAAGATGATTGGATCTGAGCGGCCCATGATACCTAAAGCCCCTCAGCTTCAAGCCTAAATGGCCACGTCCATCAAACTTGCACAACAATTATAGCGGCTCACACCACAAAACCACGACGTCGCACAGCCCCCGAACAGTAACTTCCTCAAAAAAAGCGCGCTGAGTCCCACTGGCCGCTTTTGGAGTTGTACGATGACCGTTCCGTTCACATCATTCACTTCAGCCACGATTCCTGCCCCAATGCCCGTTCGCATCCAGGCTTCTGGGACTGAGCACGAATCGAGGAGAGGCTCTATGTAAGTATATTGTGGAGACTCCGCTCATGTCCCTGACGTTATGCGGTCCATCTCCAACTGCAGACACGGTCTGGCTCTTACTTCAAGCAGATTCGGCTGAAGCGCACGAAGCGCACGTCAAGGCACGCGTAGCGCGCGGCTCCACGCTGGTCTGTTTCACTTGCTGCCGCGCAATCGTAGTTGCATCTCACTGAGACGCGGGGATTTCCTGCGCAAAGGATCGTACCTACTCCCCTTGAAGCACTTGGCAAAGCAACCAATAAGCAGTTCAAGTCTGTCTGTCAAGTCCTGCTGGTCAGCATAGCTGCACGAGAGGTAAACGCTGGTTCAGGTCCACAATTGCTAACACCTGCTAACATCCACGCCGACATAAAGAATGCTTAGCCGGCTTAGCCCTGCTCGCATTCTTCGGCACCGTTGTGCATTGCGAAGAGAAGCTTCCTTCTTGCAAAGCCCTCAGCGCCCTGCATCTAGCCTCAGAATTTGCACTGTAGAATTGGTTTGGCCGCAGCACAGGTGTGAGTCACGGTGTGAGGGTCGGTTGGCGTCTAGAATACTGTGCTTAGATGGCTGCGCTCCGACTCCTCCCTCGATAGCTTCATAATCCGATGCCCTTCGTGTTTAAAGCAGCTGCAGAAATGCTTTGAGATGGGTGGGGTGGAAGCCAGGCTTGATGATGGAGCGGGTGACCTTGCGCCACCCGATGGCAAGCTCCACCACCTCACAGCAGACCAGACCCCCCATGATGGCATACAGCCATACAGGCAACTGATGGTAGACAAGACTCTCTGCTAAGAGACACGAGCATCACAGCACACGGGCTCCCCTGGATAGCATACCAGACCCCCTGGTGACATGGCAGTTTCGACCGCAAGCATCGCGCGGTTGCCATCAGCAGCACAGCACATCACATCTGATTCTGTATAGAAGAGACCTCACCCAACTGTGCGGATGAAGGTCTTCTGCAACACAAAGTCCTGGACCAACATGATCTTTCATTGTGATTTGTGAGCAATTTCTCAGGGAGCTTTCGAGAACGATCCGCGGGGAACGACCTGCGGAGCTTTCAGTTCAAGTGAGCCAATGGATGCCATGACTTTCTTCCTGGTTTCAGGTGCTCATAAATACAGGCAGCGAGAACGCTCCAGGGCAGATCAGCATCTGGTCGTTTGCTCCTTTCCTCCTCCTTCAAGGCGGAGTGGGCTCTGGCAGGTTAATCCTGATCTGTCGCCCTAACCCGCATGACACCCCAATGGCAGGGACAGCAGTGGGGGAGGTGTGCCATATGTCCCGCGAGCCACGCGCGTTTACTGTTATCAGAGACGGGCCGTGTAAGAAGTGAGCGCTAACAAGTCTCAATCAGCACCTGAATTACACTCTGCATTGCTGGCCCGCAGCCCTGCAACCAAACCATCAGGCCAACAAGTCCGCATACCTAAATCTGACACAGTGCCAAGGCTCTCACATCCTGCCAGGTGCACGCAAGGAATTCCATCCGAGGAAGCACCGTTGCTTGGCAATGTGCACTTCGCTGGCAAGGTTTGCAGCGCAGCATCTGCCACAGTAAGAATCAAGAATGCAGCCATTTGGCAACCGTTGCCCTTCTCGCATGCCCCGATGGCTCCATCGAAGCTGGTCATGTCAGGCAGAATGTAGGCTGCGCACATGCGTAGCAACAGAAACACGCCCATCTGCCAAACGCCGTGCTTCTCGCAGGCTCTGATGGCTGCATTGAAGCTAATCACATCTGCAAAAAGCTTGGCTATGGGCATGCCTGACAGTAAGAACACTGCCATCTGCCACTGCTCACTTGCATCACACGCGCTGATGGCTGCATTGCAACTTACGGCATTGGCTGAAACTCGGAACCTGGGCATTTGCGACAGCAACGACAAGGCCATTTGCCACTCCCTGCTTTTCTCACAAGCACTGATTGCCGCATTGAAGCTGATGACATCAGGTGAAACTCTTGCCGCAAACAGCTCCGACCACAGCAGCAAAGCCATTTGCCATTTGCCGCACTTCTCACATGCACTCATGGCCGCATTAAAGCTGATGACATTGGCTGGAATTTGCGATTCGAGCATGCAAAACAGGAGAAGGGAAGCCATTTGCCACTCGCCACCTTTCTCACATGCGCTGATGGTAGCACTGAAGCTTACGGGATTTGCATCGAGTCGAGCATCGGGCATGCGTGAGAGAAGGATGCAAGCAGGGTGCCATTGGCCGCTCTTCTCGCATGTACTGATTGCGGCATTGCAGCTGATCACATCGGCTGCAACCCTGGCGATGAACATGTCTGACAGCAAACTCAACGCTAACGGCCACCCGCCTTTCTTGCTTGCGCTGATGGAACTGATTGCGGCATTGCAGCTAATCACATCCACTGAAGCTCCGGTGCGCGACATCCGTGAGAGCAAGTGCCGGGCCATTTTCCAGTCATCGCTGTTCCCACAGGCACTGATTGCAGTCCCGAAGATTACGGAATCGGGCAAGGTCTGAGCCACTGACATGTGGGACACCACTTGCACAGCCATCTGCCAGTTCAGGTCACAGGTGCTGATTGCAGCGCTGAAGCTGATCGGATTTCGCGAGAGCTTGGCTGGGGGCATTTGCGATAAAAGGAGCAAAGCCAGCTGCCACTTGGCATTTTTCTTGCAAGTACCGATGGCTGCGCTGACGCTGACGTCGTTCGGGCTGACTTCAGCAGATCGCATGTGCCAAAGCAAGGCCAATGCTGTGTGCCAGCGGCCTTGGCTGGAGATCGCGGCGCTGAAGCAATAGACAGTCGGTGCCGCACGGACAGCGCTGAGCGCAATGTCCGCCAGGATCTTGAGGGCAACCCGCCATTTGCGCGCTGTGCCACAACTGCTGATGGCTTTGCGTTGCCCCCTCTGGTCGCTTGAGCAGCTTGCGGTCTGTCCTTCCTGAAGCAAGTAGATATTCTGTTGCCACTCAGACTTCTTCCTGGCACCCATTGCAAGCGCTGCAAAACTCTTCGTATCTCTCGCTCTTCTCGCCACCGGACCCTGCCTGGACACCTCAGATGTCCAGCTCGTCGAACATACCCCGCAACAGACATTGGAGGGAAGTCCAACGCGGTGCCCGGCGCGCAGAGGTATCCCACAGTTGGCATGAGTATAAAGATAGAGGGGGAACAATCCATCAAAGCCCATCCGTCAGAACTCCACATGACAGATGTTGGAAGGAGCCGGCCCAGAAGCATTGAAGAATCCACAAAATTACTGCAGATCATTTGGCAGGGACGTCTGGCAAGCATCAACTTCCTAATGTTGCAGTCATGTTAGTCCCAAGATCCTCTTTCATGTGGTTGACAGCCGCTTGAAGAGAAGAGTTCAGGCTAGTGTTTGAGGACCCAATCTCCAATTTTGGCCTTTCCGCCTACCAATGGAGCAGAGGGTCGCATTAAAGAGCGGGCACCATTAAGTTCCTTCCAACGAAGACTTAACCAGCACCACACATCTGAGCATGCCCCAAGTCTGTATATCATGTTCTCCGTCGCATTCGAATTCCTTCTTTTGCATCGTCATGGTGCAGCACACAGACATACCTGCTATCCGTCGCGAGCACCTCAGCAACGGCGAAATGCTACCTCAGTGGCACGATGCTGCTGTTCTCGTTGATGCTGGTTCGCTTCAAATCTCTAGATTTTTGACCAGAAGCAATACACAGCTAACTGAAGCTGACCTTTGTGCTAGGCCTGCACTCAGAGGAAGACGCGACCAGCGGGCTCAGATTTCGAGGACCATGTCATCGGATGTTGGTGGTCTGGCCTAGAGCACCGTGGCAGAATTGGCAGAAGCTTTTTTTCATCCCACGATGCTTCAAAATCCTACCTGTTGCCTTCCGAGTGCTACAAGCCGTAAATGCAATGAAGAGATCGCGACCAACAACTACTTGTTCAGCCCACGTAAAGCTTGGATTCCCAAAAGGACATGCTCCCATTGTTTCCAGGGATTTCTTTTGAAAATCTCATAATGCCTACACACCTACACATAACAGCATACAGAGCCCTGGCACCCTGTCTGCAACATTCTAGAGGTAGATTGGACACAACATTTCTCGGCGAACGTCATTCCGCATCTGATTTCCAAGAGCAGTGGTCCTCAATTAGAACTCGTTTCCCACATTATCACATCATGTGTTACACCAAGTTGCCTTGACACAATATGAGCAAAGTCTCAAGGCAGTTTGCAACTTCTTTCAGCGGAATGAAGTCAGCGCAAGAATGTGGCGCGGCCTATGCATCGTTTGCACTAACAGCTCACATCCATGAACTGCTGATCTGTGTCCATATCCCAGCAACCCACAGCACCACTTTTGTGCAATCTTCAACGCACTGTATTGTTTTTAAGCTGTGCTGGTTGCGACCTCCCTGGTTCCAGGGAACTCGCGTAGCAAACGCATCTGGCTTGGCCAACGTGGGAAAATGATTTGGATGCAGGTACGGGCTAGATTACATGTACCTTCGAAACACCCGTCCTTCATTGAAATACCCGCAAAACATTCAGGGATGTCATCTCAGTCCGGGATGGAGCCAGGCATCACCGGGTCAAAGCTCTGAGCTACTTTCACATGTACTACCTTCCTCTCCACATCTGATAACTCCAGCCTGCCTGTTTTGGAGGCTACAGCTAGTGCATGCGAAGTTGAAAGGCTCTTTCAAAAGCTCTGATGAAATTTCTGATCCTTGTCGAATGAGGTCAGGAGATGAGAGAAGTCAACATGCTCATGCTGTTTGAAGACGAAGTCCAACTGGACATCGCGGCAACGAGATATGAGCTCCATATCTGACAGCAAGGTTTCACCATAATCTCGAAGGTCCAAGTCGTTTGGATCATTTCCAAGTGGTGACTCCAGTATTTCAGCCACCTTATCTAGCCCGAAAAAGCCGATGGTGGCGATTGCTGAGAAGCCCAAAGTCCACCACCCGCAGACTTGGGCTAAGCTGAACGGAAGCATTCCTAGGAAAACAATGGTCAGCCACTTAACGATCTGGCAGTATGGAAACGGAAACTGTGTTTTGTCAATCTTGTCCATGTTCCAGAAGTTGGCACCGACATCATCCACTTGACCTGGCCAGGAAACCCAGCAATTAGTTCAGGAAAGAACAAAATCAATGACGGTACTGTTAGATTGAGCTCAGGAAGAAGCGTAAAGGCAAATAACTCTCCACTGCTTCCCTATTCGTGTGCACAGCCACACCTGATCGGCAGGCATTGAAGGCAAGTCGTGCTGTGCGCCATACAGATGCCACTTCTCAAGCAATTCGTACGATTTACAAGCCAGAGTGGGCCGCTAATTGATCACCAGATGAATTGGGATCAGATGGATTTCCACTGGGAGTCGTGCTTTGGGATTTGTTCGCGTTCCTAACCACATGTTGCCCTCTGCAACTACTGAAAGATTGTTTTCTTGGATTTTTGGGGGAACCAGACTCCATTGTGAGTTGGCCGATCCTGCCTAACAAGTGTGCCATGATGTCGGTTTCCACTGCTTGGTGGTCTGCGATCTTGCGGAGCGACATCTGGATCCAGAAAAGAATGATTGATGGACGTGTGCTATCATGCATGGATGAAGACCCTGCAACAGTTTTGTCCTCTCCGGGATACAGGATGGTCCACTCATGATCGCCAGCTACAGCAGCAACGTCGTGTCTCAACCTGTCCAGCTGCTTCTTGCTGTGGGTTGGATTTTCCCCTGTCCTCTGAAAGAACTCACAAACCGCCATGTAATAAAGGTCCAGAAGACGCACGATCCTCTTGGCATTCTTTGCCACATGTTCGTCAACGACGAGAGGGCCTCCCAGAACTGCTTGTTGGCTTCTTGTGTCTTCAGAACCAGAAGAAAGGACAGCAGAATTGCCAACGCTGCCGTGCCCTCTCGCACGGCCTCGCTGAAGGCGTAATCGGGAAAGTCCTTTGACAGCCCCACCGCGGTCACAGAGAGCCCCTCTGTCACCAGAAGCTGCGGAAAGAGTTTCGGCCCAATTGAACCCCGCCACTTGAACAGAATAAAGGGTGTAATAGTTAGGAAGCTCCACACGCTTCCCTCTGCGCCCGAGCGGTAAGTCACGACCATGGCTGCTTGAGGGCAGCACCTAGCATCAGCTGAGCTTTCCTTGAGAACGCTCAGCTGCACAGGCAAAGGTTTGAAAGCAGTACCAACAGAGCTTCTCTGATGTTTTTGCCTCTCTGCAATCAACGAGTGCATCCACCGCTTCGTTTCCGACACATCGCGATGAAGTTCTGTCTGTACTTGCGGTACTTAAGAAATGTTCTTTGAGGCAAGACAGTTTGGCTGCGCGACCCTGGGCCTGCGCAAGTCCCCCTCTCTTTCTTTCTTTCTTTCTTTCTTTCGTTCAGGCTATGTCTCTCTCTCTATCTTTCTTTCTTTCGTTCAGGCTATGTCTCTCTCTCTTCCTTTCTTTCTTTCTTTCGTTCAGGCTATGGAGAAGGGGAGGTCCCCCTCTCCGGGCGTCACTGCCCAGCCCGTGTTGGGCCTGTTTGGTTGCTCTAACCCCTCGTTGTTCCAAAGCACTGGGATCTTTTGGGGGTCCTAAGGTCTCTCTAGCTCTCTCTCTGTCCTGTCTGTCTCTCTCTCTCTTCTTCTTCGGGTGATGGAGAGCCCTACGACTCTCCCGGCGCCCAGCCCCGAACCCCCGCGCACCCGAGTCTGTCCAGTCGGGACCCCGAAGGACCGATCCGACACCTCTCTGTCTGTCTGTCTGTCTCTGTCTCACCTTTGTCTCTGTTACAGACTGCTGGCAAATGAAATCTTGCCTGCACTACCCTGCTGTGAGGCCTAAAATAAGAGAGAGGTAGCGGTACTGCAGCCCGCGCATTTTGTCAGCAAGCGGGTGGCCGAGACACATGCCCAAGTGTGTGTAAAAGTTTTTTTATATAATGATCGAATATGGTCGACAACCATTAGCTAAGCAAATCTTGCATTGTGCGGGACATGCCATCCCACTGCACAAGTTCATTTGCACAAATAGCATGAACCATGCTTAGAACCTCTCCTAAAACCGCTGCAAAGTTTTAAAGGGCCTCTAAAACCTGTCAAGATCTGTCAAGGGGCTAAGACATCTCCAAGGTCCAGCGGACACTTCTACAAGGGTCCTATAAACCTCTCCATTCTCCACCGCACTCTCCACTGCACTCTCCACTCGACTTTCCACTCTATCTGCCGCTCCAATTTCCAAGCCATTCTCCACTCCTCCTCGCCACTTTCCGCTCCGGTTGAAAAACAAGGACATTTATGAGGATGGCGACCTGTAGCATCCTGTGACTGATGACAGTTCTGACACGCGACGAAGACGCGACGGTCAAAAGCGAACAGCTAAGAGGATGGCGACGGATGTGTGACTGCTGGCACGTTTGACGCGCAACGCACGGATGGTCCGAAAGCAACAAATTACGAGGAAAAGGCTTCTGCACCTACAGCCATGGCGTAACACTCGCAAACGCTTCGCGAGCGCTTCACGAACGTGCGATTTCGGTCACCCCCTGGACCCTGGACCCCAACACTTAAAACGGGCACCTTCTGCGGCTTCGGGAAAACAACTTGCATGACCTCAGCATGCTAAAGTACCGTTGCTCTTGATGTATACGGTGTAGAGTGCTTGGAGTCTTCGCGAAAATCCCAACCAGAAGGAGATAGGGGATTGTTGTTAAAATAGCTTCCGGGGGGCGTAATCACAAAGCAAGGGCTTCGATACTCTTACACCCCCCACCCTTACACCCCTGAACCTTACGCCCCATCATCCACATGAACCATAGGCGAAACTCCTAGTATCCCTTGAATAACCCCATACAGTAGTCCCCTTTGTAACCCCCCTTATAACCCCTTTAAGGAGTTCAGACTACAGCTCACACGAACGCAACTAGGAGGCTGCCCGCGAACGATGTAGCCAGCACCAAGCCTCGGGCTCTTTTCAAGGTCACAGGGAATTTGTTTGGGGGGTAAGCTTTTGAGGCTTTATGATGTGTATATGCTAGGCTCCTGGCGTGTATACAAGGGCACCAGATACTAAACAAAGCCTTGAAGCATCGAGATTTGGAGGCCCTTCAAGACTTAAGGTCGGGTTCAGGGCAGTAGGGGCTAGTGTGATCAACAACTGAAAGGTATACTCAAAGTCTTCCCCAGAAACAGCACCAAGGCGTCAGTGATCTCGGCGCCGATGCGGATGTTCCTTACCACGTGTTGCCATTATCATCACCGTACTTTTCAGAACAGGGGCCGCTCGTGAAAACCGCATATGACCGATTATGCTGCACCACTTTTGGGGCCCAAGAGCAAACGCTACTGTTGACGAACACACAATCCCAATTGGAATCCAAATGTTGCTACTTAATTATATAACATGTGGCGACTTCGCGCTTTATGATATGGTCAATATCTACTTCTACAATGAGAGGTTTTGATCTCATCGCTCCTTCATCCTTACTGGTGTCATCCTTCTGCTGCAACCGCCGTGCTAATGCTACGGCTACTCTGTTGGTGCTGGTGCTACCGTTCCCGCACTACTCAGCACCACAGAACCCATCACCATGGCACCACGACCACTGCCACTAACGCTGCCGCTACTGAAGGGTCTAGGGTTTAGGTACCCTAGGACCCAAACCCCTTTACCCTAAACCCTAAACCCTGAACCCTAAACCATGACTTACTCATGGCATAGCTCTTTTCGCAGGTTGGGTTTCAGGGCTCGGGGTGTGAGGTGGATTGCCCCTTTCAAGGCTAAATCCTAAGCCCTAAACCCTAAAAGTAATTTCCATTTTCTTTTCCATTATCCATATATAGCCCTATATTACCCTATATTATCCCAATATTACCCCCAGGCCCTTCATTCCCAGACTTCGGAGCCAGGCTTTGCCCAAGGCCACTGCCGGGCTTCAATCTAAGGTTTAGGGTTTAGGGTTTAGGGTTTAGGGTTTAGGGTTCAGGGTTCAGGGTTCAGGGTTTAGGGTTTAGGGTTTCTTATACTCTGCTTCAACTTGATGGTTTGTAGTAGGGAATAAGGGAATATGGTCCCTACATTATCCCTGTAGAATATATTCCCCTATTCCCTACCATAAACCGGATATATACCCTATTATAATGTAGTAGTTGCCATTTTCTTTTCCATTATCCCTAGATAACCTAATATTTTCCCCACTCAGCAAGCCAAGGGTTGAGGCAGATACATCCAGACATGTGCATTTACGATCAGGGGAGTTGGCATCCTCAAGTTTCGGGTTGAGGTCTATAGAGTTTATAGGGTTTATAGGTTTTGTAGGGTTCAGGGGTCTACAGGGAGTTGGCCGGCCCCTATTGGCTTTCAGTTTCAGACCCAGGTCTGCACATCACAAAACAGTCCAGTGTTACCTTGACTAGAAAACTGTAAGCATGTATTGCAACTTGGGTTTCGCTGACATTGATTTAGACCAGCGTTGTAATTGTGGTCCTTCTTAGCTGCGCTTTTCCAGGCCCCCCTTTGGATTTTGACTTCCTGCTGCAGACTACCGCATGACGCTAGATACACTACGTTTTGCCTTTGCGTTTAGGGCGCCACGACGAAACCCTCCCTCGATATTTTTCTTAGAACTACGTGGTGACTACATTTCCAAGATTCCGTACGATCACACGCTGGGATGTCATCCTGCTGAGTTTCTACGATTCGACTGCCTGGCAGCCAAATTTGAGAAGAGCCCTTGCAGGGGCGCGCGTGTGCTCCGTTTGCCAATGTTCTCTTGCATCCTACCCACAGGCACATACTAAGAGCCTTGCGGCAGACTGCCGGTCTCTAGGCGCACATCCAGCTATCGGTGCACTTCCGCGACCGGACAAGGCATGTACCATTTCGTGAACTCGGGATGTGAGTGAAAGAATGGAAGCTCGCCACATGAAAAAAAATACACACAGACCTGAGTAATCGCGAATAAAGCACAACCACGTGGTAGCTGTAGGGATCAACAGCATTTTCTCCATCCAAGGCATTGGCGCGACAGATTTGCTTGAATAAGCAGAAACTAGAATCGCTGCTTTTGTTGCAATATGACTTGGGTCGTTCCTACCAACTACCACGACGAGGGATAGTGCTGATTACAATCAACTCGTCGTATATCCCCTAGTATACCACTGCTAGTGGGTAGCAGGATGCTTCTAACCAGCTTTTTTTGCATTGCCGGTATATCAATACTGTGCTTCCAGTGATGCTGAAAATCTGCGTTGGAGCATTGGTTCCATCCTGCCCACTGCGCCCATTGAACAGATGGCGAACTTTGACCTTGTTCATGCTCCTATGTCTGCATGACCCTGATGGTGTAGAGTCATAATCCACAGGCCTCAAGTGATGAGGAGCACAAGGTCTTCTTTGCATCAACAGAACGTATCTACCTTCCAGGCAAGGGTCACTGCCTCAGGTTCAACCTGCTCCAGGCAAAAATGTGCGAGCATGACAGAGAAAGCGACGTTGACAGCTGCGGCAAGCGTGTAGTGCTTGGTAATCACGAATATGATCAGTCGCACCAGTCCCATTTTGAGGGCAGTGTTCTCAATGTAAAAGCCTGGTTCTAGCCACAAGGTCCAAAGCAGAACGCCGCCAAAATAGATGCACCTTGACACCAGAGAGGAGGATACAGGCGCCTAAAGCATGCAAGAAATAATCTCACCCAGCAGACATAACTTCTAGATGTGCCAAGGCACCGCGCATCCAGTGACCGTGCTGAATTGAACCACTTGCAATTC